TCATATTGCAGTTCAGGATACAACTTAGAGCAAAAGCAGCACGGTCCTTATGTTAAACAAATCCGTATTCATCTCTCCAAAAGGGCTGAAGTGAGAGAATATCTTACTTTGGTCTCTTAGCAACTGCCATTTGTCCAAAATGTTTGATTTTACACTTAAGTGTGAAAAATGTTATCAGTGGCACGGATTGCGAACGTTCCTGTGAAAACAATAGGCGAACCCTGCTAAAAATAATGCAGTAAATAAACCAAGTGTTTCTTTAAGTATGTCGAAGAGCGTTCATTGGGTAGCATTTTGTAGAGAATTAGAGAGCAGTCAAGCATGATTTTATCATTTTTTACTTTCTTCGTGGCTTATTAGACCTTTATTGCATATGTTGCTTTGACTGCATGTGCTGTTAAAAATCCCTTTGTATCTATTCAGACCTTGTGACGTTAGTAACTCACAAGGATGAGTGTTTTCCAGTGTAATTGTTTTACATTTTGTAATATAGGATGTGTCGACTGAGCAAAGTGGCACAAAAGGTCACTCTTTAGTGTTTGAGCTCCAGGGACATACATTACCAGCAAGGGGGCATATTCCAGGCCCCAACTGTGCTCAACCAACATGCCGATTCTGTGCCCATCACTGTCGCAAGCTTGTTAGGAACCACGGCCCATGTAGTTTGCTTTGTTAGTAGAGTGGCTCTTTGTTGCTGTTTCTGCTTAGAAGTACAATTGAAATACTAACATACTAGTTCAATTAGATAAAGGTTCTTAAAGTCAAAAAATGACACACAAGTGTGTTGCTATGTTGCATAGAGGAATTTACCACAAGGCAAAAAGTAATTGTGTTTTCTCTATGCAGAACCATTTTGTAGAAATATATATAGAAGCTATTTCTCATTGATTAGTTAGCATGACAAGTCTCAATCTAGAGCTGTGATATCCAGTCCTGGTATGAAAGGGTCAGTATGCCTGCAGGTTTTCATTCCTTTTTTAACTGTGGAAACCTAGTAAATGTCATATTATATATATTATTTTCTTTTAACACTGTGATTTACGTTATAAGGCAATGAACAGATGTTACAACAGATGTTATGTTACAACAATGCTGTAACATAAAGACCACCATAGGTTACTTTTAACAAAAAGTCCTATGTTTTACTTTAAAAAGTCCTATGAACATGAGCACCTTAAATTGTTTAATGAGAGAAAGGTATAGTATGGTACTTTCAATAGAGGGCAGTGTGAGACAAGGTTGATTCATACTGTAATATATGTATTACAGGGAAAATAAGCTCTTACCAGTTAAGAGTTTATATATGGTTATCAAATGTATTATGTTGCATGGTTATTTATGTCCAGGTATCTGTGTACTGCTATGTTGCAGACAGGGATTTACCACTAGACAAAAAGTAATTGTGATTAGAAACTAGATGCTCAGAAATGCCAATAGTTTACTTTTTTTTCAAAATGAAAGAGCTGATAATTATTCAGGAACCATAACAGAAACAATACATATGTAGATCAAAGCCTAATGATTTTACCCCACAATAACAGTGACCTTACTATAATCAATTATGTTTGGTGTTTGGTATAAAGCAATCAACAGTATATGTTATAGGTGAATTGAACTGATAGCTTGCATTAATGCTTCAAAACCCCTGGGTTTGAATATCAATTTTGGTTCCCCACTAAGTGTGGTTTTGTACGTTTCCCAATGTCTGTGCGGATTTTTCCAGGTGCCACAGTTTTCTCCCATATCCACATACGAGCAGTTAGGGTTAATTGACTACACTACACTGTCTATTCTCAGAGAGGGGGGAGTCTTAAGGTAGTGTCAGAGCTGGGGAGGATGGAACCCGTTGCCAGTACAGACAGTACAGGCTATGGGACTATAGGAACTAAATGGGCTTCATGGGCTGAAGGCCCTCCCCTTCTCTCTGGCCTTCCTCGTGTTCTGAAAACATAAAAAAGCAAATTCACAGTCTAAATAAAGTGCAGACAGGTTAATATAATGCGTCTCCCAAGCAATTCATATTAAGATGGGATCTTAGTAGCTTGTACCAAATGTTCTCTATATGCCAAGGGATCTTGGGTATCCCAGGCCCATATCAGATATTATGGTTTTTAAATGCACTAGAGGGGATTAATTGTGACAAATGAGGGGGGATTCTGACTTACAGGTGTTCAGCCATGAACCCACAGATGGCAGCTTCACACCTCTGGCTCCTCAGCCAAGTACAGCCACTACAGACACCTGCAGGTCCTGTCCTACTGAGGGGGATTACTGCAGTACTACAGCAGCACCCCCTCAGCTGGGCACAACGAACCTGTCTCATGACAGTCTGACCCCAGCTCACGGTGCAGCAGCTGGCGAACTGTGCTTCACAACGACAGGAAGGGCCAACGCTGAAGGGTGAGTCAGTGACATCGCTATGGCAGCTTGGTCTCCGCAAGCCAGTCATCTTTGTGCTAACTGTTGTGAGGAATCGAACGGATACACTAGTCACCTGTTCTCCATTTTAAGACCACAGTATCTGATATAGGACACCTGGGGTCTTCGGGGATAAGGGGTTCACAGGAACACAGTACTGCTCCCAAACAACATATGCTTATGATGGCTACTGTGTATGAATCTGGATTTATGCTGTGGACTTGAGGCAAATTCTTAATGTAAAATACAACATTTTTCCATTCTGCTGATGGAAGGGATGTACACAATGAGGAACTGTTACTTTCCTATATGTGTGGATTTGGCTATTATTATTAACTGTTTGTGGTGACTGTTATCATTATTACAAACATGAATTAAAAGTACCCTTTAGGAAGGCTAGTGTCAATATTATGTATGTATATCATTGGACAACTATTTACTAGTCATGTACCTTGTAAAACACACTCCTTAAAACCAATTAAAGATTTCCACATCAGAGGTAATTAAAAATGGAAACATTCATAATTTACACTGTGGAGGTTTAGTTTCTGTAGAATATTTGTGCCAGACATTATGTGTTAACAGAGACTCTTGTTCATGAAAAATTGATATCGACATTCCTTTTTGTTTGCTTATTTCCCTGACAATATTCCTGTTTGTATTCAGAAACCAGGCTGTGTCATTTTGATCTGGAAAATAACCTGCCTACAACACTGAGTCATTTATATATCTGGTATATTGTATACAGGCAAGGAGGGACTGCTATTTACAAATACAAGCATAGGCAAAAAACTAAGTAGAAATGACAAATACATGAAAATATAATAAAAACATACAATAAAATATAATAAAAACCTGTAGTTTGTTAATTTTGCTTTCATGCTAAATTTGTGCTCAACTTATTTAATACCCATGAATAAATGTTTTTGCAAGAGCATTTTAAAACCTCAGTATTGTCAGAAATTAAAATATTTTCTAATGATTAACTCGATTAATAGTTTATTTTTAAAAGTGCGCCACAAGGAACTAACTCTGTTGCAAAACATATTTGTTTTTAGTTGGTGTTTAAAACCCAATCGCAATTTGCTTATTACAAGTCCATATCAGACATTTGGGTAATTATCATGATTCCGCAAAATGTATACATTACATGCCATGTACAGAATTTTCATTTACTCTGAAAAATGGAAGAAACTATCCTGATCGTAAAAAGAAATCATTGTCATACCAGCAGAAGCATTTCTGGTTTCTGAAGAGATAGTGTTGATATACTTGCGGTCTGACACTTCATCAATGTGTGAATTGCGAAGACATCAACCACTTTTTGAACATTTTAATTCCAATCTTTGATCACTGCGTATTGGACAAAGTAAACAGGTAACAGTGTTTTTTTTATCACACTCCTGCTTCTGATTAATTTAATTAGTTCAAATGTAACCGAATACAAAGGTATACAATAACTGTTTAGAAGGGTAATTTGTTTACAGTAAAGAGCTATAATTTTGAAAAGGATAGTTTGTTTTCGTGTTAACATCACGAGCAAAAATGATGTGTTATGTCTATGTGAAGAAAAACTTTGCGTTACTGTTTTTCACACACACACAACATAGAGGCACCTGTTAATATACAGTATTATCACAAACATCTACATGGCTACATTTTTAAGAGTAGGCCTACTTCTTGGCCGGCCCGAGTTGCAAAGCCTATTTGCTTTTTAATATGCGCCTTTACTGTACATTGCAAGCAAGGGCAAGTCTACCAGCCGCCCGATGACGCTGACTAGGTAGACTTACCACTGTATATACTTACTGCAGCAGACCACCGTCTCTGACTTTCAGCGGTCATGAACTGCAGCAGACCACCGTCTGTGACACTCAACGGTCATAATCAACCTCGCATCAAGGACTGGCATGATCCCCAGTCACCGTTTCATGCGAGCCCTTAACGATGCGCGTTAAACGTAGTACCCAGGACTTCAGGGTTAAGTCCCAGGTACAGGCTAGAGGTGTATCCTCAAATACTTAAAGATTTCATCTGCTACACGCAAGGGCGTCGAATGTCTTGCACCGGGGCATTTGCGACACGTCTAAATATTAACCCCAAATAACGTCTTCCATAGCGTTGTCCTTAATTGCATTTATTAATTATATTCAGGTTTGTTATGTGTATGAGTCTTTGTGGGTTAATTGTCCATTGCAGCAATTTTATTTTTCTCTCAAAACGTTGCCCCATTCTATTATTTCACCTCATCCCCTGTGCGTCCTTAACGGATTGCTTCTGGGCTGAAAACTGATTTCAAAGAGATGCTGTTTAAAGCTGTTTTAAGTGTTAACTGTAATACTGGCTGGTGTCTGACACAAAGACGTGGTGAAATTAACAACACACAAGTTAATGATGAAATATCTCAGAAAATTGTTCCATCTGAGTACCGTATTTTATTGCATTTAGCATTCTTGTCGCGTACAATGTTATATGCGTTGTAATTATGCAGGGTGCATTTAGTGCTCTGCCACGGAATATGTATCTACCTGTGTTTATCAGTCTCGTTAGAAAACAAAAGAAAAAGTATTCACATTGCTTACCTGTCAATGGCAATAGCTGTCATGGAATAAATGCTTGAAAAAATAGCTGTGATGGGAAAAAAGTTATGGAACCTGCAGTAACTTAGACCGAAGTACCAGTCGTTGTGTAAGGCGTAGACCAAATTGAAAACTGTATTGAAAGCTGCCATAGAAGCGTCTGAGAACGCGAGGTTCACAATGAAATAGTTAGTAACTGTCCTCATTCTTTTGTGAGCCAGGATGATCCAAATGACAGTGATATTGCCGATGACCGACACTATCACTATCAGGGCATAAGCGATCGCCCACAGCGCGACCTGCCAGCCCGGCTGGGCGAAAATGTTGGTGCCGGTGTAGTTGCCATCGTCTTCGTTTTCGAATGACGAATTCAGAGATGAGAAAATGAGAGGAGCCAAAGTTGTATCCATGACTTATTTAGGCAAAAGCGCTTAAAATCCGGATTTTGTTATACTGGCAATTAAGCCTCACGGCGATACCATTACGCGTAGTTTGGAAACCTCATAGCCTGTCATTTTTTATATCAATCTCTCCTGTAAACGAGGAAACTTAAAACTCCAGTTTTGCCATCACCAAAGACTGCATGATCAAGAGCGTATGTCAGCGAAGACTCGCCAGGTCTACGGAATAACTGGTTACTTCAGAGCAACATGGATAAACTTAACTCGTACTTCTTCTCTAGCGCTGAACCAGACTGGAGCCTAAGGCGATCAGTGTGTTATTGGGCAGCAATTTATCTCCTCATTTGTTTGGTGATCGTAACTGTTGGAATTTAAACCTGCTCGATCTGGGAGGAGTGGGGTCGATACAGTGACGTTTCTATATGATCTCAAAGAGGAGGAGAATTTCACAGATTACAATAAAAGGCACCCTGAGCCATTAGTGTGCAGCTCCGGCGCTGAAAGTCACCCTGCATGAAGGCGTCTGTTAAGCAAATAGATAATAACAGATCGATTTTGTTTCTGTTTGTTTAGGCTGCTTAAACATCTGTGCGGGTAATTGTCTTTCACACTTTCTTATAACTGGCGGTGACGGATTCAAGTATTCTTTCTCATTTGAAGACATTCACGATGTCACAGTAAAATTGCTGGAGTGTCGGTACTGCATGTATTAATATTGAACTATCATTCGATAACCAAATTAACGCTTGAGAACGAGTTTTACAAAACGTATTTCTAAGGATATCAGAGGTTTAAAATGCGACATATACTTTAAATCAGAGGCATGTAAAAAATAATAAAATCCAAACCGTGGTTAAGTGCCATCATCACATGTAAGAACGTCTTGCGCAATGGACTAATACATTCTCATAGGATTTAAAGCTCGTGCAAGTTCTATTTCATTAAAATTGTTAATAAGATACGCTGAACCCTGAAAGAAAAAAATAATCAGGGAAGAATATTTTAAAAAATGATTTCAATAATGAAAAACTTGAAAAGCTTCTATTAGTGTGGATTTAAAGTGTATTGTAAAGTTAATAACGGTAAACACCCAAACACATAAATTAGGTCAATCAGGTTGTAAAATTAAAAACAAAATAGCGTGGAATAACTTTCAAATGGACTAACTTTCTGTGTAAAGGAATGAACAATTCGAGCTCTGTATTGCGGCAACAATGTTCTATGTTAAATGACATTGAAGATTAACGTAAAAAAGTTATTTTATGTTGTTGCAATTTTAAAAACGGAACATTTTAGAGAACACTAGGTTAGAAGAGACTTTGTTCTTGCGTGGTTGCTAACGGCTACAGTATTTGGTTAAAGAACCTTATCAAGCTGTCTCTTCGAGAGGCTTCAAGAGTCAGTGAAACATCTTCCTCGACGTGATTTACGAAAACTATTGTAAAAACCTGCATTACGTGAACAGCTGCATTCCCTCTCTTCTCCTTGATTTTATCTACGTTTAGCTGCCATATTTATTGTCCTTTTTCCTGTTTGAGGTTTAAGTAGCTGTATATCATGACTGTGACATTTATTTCATGAGTCCGAGTAGCCGACTCTAATCCAATGACACTTATATTTTTGCTCGGGGCGAAAAAGAATTATTGTGGGTGCTCCTTTTACAGCTCTTTCCGGAACAGCAATATCTATTTACTGGAAGCCAAATCTGAGCAGCGAACTGTGGCTTTCAGTATTACACCTCCATATCACAATTTTACTCTTTTGACAGGGTGGCCGAACACTGTTTGATTGCTCTGTCGTTTAACTGTAATATCTAGTGGTAGATATCAATGAGTCAACATAAACATCACATTGGTGCAGGTGGGCTGCTCAGTACCAAATTACCACTCTCCATAAAACTAATTTCACTGTTATAATATTCTTCGACTCTTCGTAGTCTTTGCTTTCTAAAATGCAGTTTCTCAGAGGTCTGTGTCTGTCAGGAGAAAGCATTTGTAAGCATCCAGAAAAAGTGGTGTTCATTTCCCTAAGATTATTATAATTTCTAACAATGTGAACTTTTGTACCAGACCGAAATATAATCCTAACCATTCCAAAATCAGATTCCACCCACTTTTCTTGCATTCATCTACGGGATCAGATATTGTTCTGTTTCCATGACACACTGATGGACCAAGTTATAAACATTTAATTTGTGTAGTTAAGGACATTTTTTAAGAATGCTTGTGTTGAGTATAATGAAACTCTTGAACAATTCCATCCGGAAAATGGTGTTGCTGTATCATCCTGCAACACATAACTGGCAACCCAATGAAGTGAAGCAGGTGTGAGCCTGGCCAGTACATGCAAAATATCAATAATTGCTTACACTTATATAGCACTTTTCTGGACACTTGACTCAGAGCACTTTACAGGTAATGGGGACTCCCATCACCTCCAATGTGCAGCATCCACCTGGATGATGCGATGTCAGCCATAGTGTGCCAGAACTCTCACTACACATCAGCTATCAATGGGGAGGAGAACAGGGTGATCAAGACAATTCATAGATGGGGATTATTAGGAGGTGATAATTGGTAAAGGCCAATAGGAAATTTAGCCAGGACTCCAAAGGATGAGAGACCGCCTAGGAAAGCTAAGGTTGCTGCTGGAAGAGGTGTTAGTAGGACCTGTAGGGGGCGCTCACCCTGCGGTCTGAGTGGGTCCAAATGCCCCAGTAAAGTAATGGGGACACTATACTGTAAAAAAGGTGTCATCATTCAGAATGAGACTCTCTGTGGTCAAAACGAAATCACAGGTTGTTTCAAGAAAGGTGAAAGGGATTTTAACCTCGGTGTCCTGCCCAAATTTGTGGTGTTAATATGCATGCTTTCTAAATACCGCAATGACCACAGGCTCATAGGCACAAAGGAGGAGATGGCATCCTAGGGTCTTTTGGGTTTGATTTCCGTGGGGCATATGACACAAGTTCCCTGAATGCATGCACCCTTGACACACCTAGTGAGCAGCTACAAGGTGTGTGATGATTTTATCAGAGTTTAGCAGCTCTTTTAGGAAGTCATAGAATTGTGATTTGCAAAACGACTCCTCTCTCAGGAAAAACCGTACCCATCATATCTACCCACACATTGGTTGAAGTCTGCTGTTCGTGCTAGTTTGCCGCTGTATTCAGGCAGTCTGTTTTCAGACATAACGTAAACATTTGTTCAGAACCACATGGATGTGTTAGTGGGGCTAGCAGGGATCAGAAACTCGATATCAAATTGAGAAATGGACATAGTCGTACCCCTCCTGAATGGTTTAAATTATGCAGTCTGAGTGCTTTTGCTTCAAGCCTTTTTAAAAATAATGTGAAAGTTTCGCAAGCACCAGAACTTATATCAAGACTGAGAATAATTTCTGCAGGAGTCGACATAGCAGTAACAGAGTCCCATTCTTTATTGCTTTCCAATCATTTCCCTTGTTATTACTAAAAATACTGAACACAAGTTTCACTGTCACACACTTAATTGTACGCTTTGGTACTGCTCTTATTTTTCCAAACTTAGCTGCCCCTACCTGTGTTTATAAGAACAACACCTTGGCTTGCGGTTATGAGCAATTACGGTTACAATGTTTGGGATTTCTGAGAGGGTGTGTTCTCCTTGTCATGCTGTGTTCTGGCCGCATAAATTCATTATGCAAAAACATTCTATCTTGTCATCCTTCTGAATCTGCATGAGCATTGTTAAGTCCTACCTACCAATAATTTACCTTTCAAAGCCATTCCTACAACTTGGAGGCCGAGCAACAGATCCTGTACATAACAAAACAGCAATTAGACACAGACCTGAAAAACAGGTTTTCCTGCAGCTCACCACTTCATGTCTCCCGAGAATTGATTTTCAGAGCACTGCTTCGTATTAACAAATGGGCTGTTACACGTCTGTTTTATGATATTTTAAGTTACAATGTTTGACTTTTTATTTTTTGTTAACAGATTATAGGCTTTAATTGACCATATGGTAGCAGATACAGTAAATTAACAAAAGTTAAATGCTTTGTTTATAAAATTGTATGAGATTTTGAAACTCATACAATAAAGTTTTTAGTTTTTAAATTATAATACAGGCAATATATATAGCTCTTACAAATGAGGAAAATGTTGTTATTAAAGAACAAAATGGAAAATGAGTACATATACATACTGTATTGCTAAGCACACATTTGATGTTTATTTACAAGTATCCAATAATGTACTTTACTAAATGTAAAGTAGGTAACAGACAATAATGGTTAATAAAAAATATTAGTAGGTATATTTCATTTTCACATGATTTCTCTAATCATTTTTGTGGTAAAGCAAGTTTTGCCATTTCAAACTGAGATAAACTTGTTTGGAGAATTTTAACAGTAACCAATGAAACTTAATTACTTAAAAACAATTTTAGTGCTTAAGGATCTTTGAAGTTTGGCTTAATTCTCCATTCTCTTCCAAAGTGGAAATTTATGCTGTAATCGAATGCACTGGAGGTTACAATTCTTCATTTATATGGAGCAATTTAATTGTTATTTTACTATGGACTTTGTTGGATGATGTCTTATCTTCTTATTTGTTTTGTCTTAGAAATGTCAAATATCCCATCCTCCTCCCAGCCCAGTTCATGATCATCACCAGTTAATCACTTGTATCAATGCTGCAAGGGTCTGCTATCCTGATCCTGAGAGGCTGATACAGCATATTTTATAGGAAGACACTGAATCACCAATTTCTACATTCCTGGAACTATTTTCAAATTAAGAAATGTAAGTAACGTTTGGGTTAAAATCTGAAGACCCTTCAGCCTTCAAAAATCAGAGTCCCCTTAACTGAGCACCTCATATGCTTCAATGATCAATAAGTTTCAAGTGGTCCTAGTTCTTAAGTATTCAGGGTGACCTGTAAGGCTAACTGGATGGGCCCCAGGACCAGGGCCGAGTAGCAATTTTGCCACATGGACTCATTAGCTAATTTATCCCACGTGGACTGGACATTGAATTCAATTTTCTCAGTGACTGGAGCCAACCCTGTGCTGCACAAAATGTGGTCACTGTCAAAGATGAATTCCTGAATCCAGGAATTGTTTGATAACCTCATATCTTTCACCGTACGTACTGTACCTTACTGCTTCAACCCACAAATATACCCCTTCATTGTTCACTCATTTTCAAGGGAAGTGAGTCAAGTGATTTGCCTGCAAGATTTTACTATGGCTCAAATGCTGCTTAAGTGAGCTCGCTGCAGGATATTAAAAAAATGCAATCTGAGCATTGTACTGTAGCAATGCAAACTTTAACCAATTAAATCACAATACAACAAAAAGCCAGCCAGCATGAAAGCTTCCAGAAGCCTCATTGAAAGCATGCTCACATCATTGCCTCCAAATGTGATATGCGATTTGTTTTCTCATTGTTTCTAGTGATATGACTGGAGTTTGAAAGCCTAGATTTGATTTTGTATGCTTGGTTTATTTTGTAGTCATCTAATTTCTTTAGTTCTAGGTCTGTTAAACCAAGCAATGTTTGAAATTCACTGATATTCTGTCCTCATCTTGGAGGTCTGTCATGTCTTTTGGATTCATTCTATTTGGATTCCTGACAACATTATTTGTTTCAAGTGCTCATTTCATTTGTCTGTAAGGATTGCTGTTTCCAGGTTTTACTCAATGAGGATTAAGAGTTACCTATAAAACCTGGCGCACTGTGACCCTACAGGGCCAGGCATGAATATCACTGCTGTATTCAAAACAAGCACAGGCAAGCTACAGTACCTTTGTCTGAGAGCTCCACGAACTAACCCAGCATGAATATAATCTTGTCATAATGTGTGAAATATAAAAAAACCTCTTTATCTGCTCTAATGTATTCGCATGCCTTGAGCAAGTGGTTGAAAGGAAGTGTGTATTAAGGAAAATGTTATTACAGAAAAACAGTAGTGAGAAAGACTTTGGAGTTGGAAAAAGTCTGTTTATTTTGGGGTTTATCTGTATTTTGGAAAGCAATTTTTCTATAGGATCAAAATTGTAAAGCATGCTGAGTATGCACATCTGTCATTCTTTAGGTCCAGTAGTATCTACGGTACGTTTCCAGATTTTAGGAGCACAAACATATTTTCACAGTAAGAGACCACTTTGGGATTGGTTTACGTAATCAGTTAAAAGGATTTCTTGATGTCTTCTTTAATTATAAGCATTTATCGCACACAAGAATAGGAGAAGCAGTTTCAGAACTAGCCAACGGCTTTTCATTACATGATTTTGCATGTTATAGAATTTGCATAGTATAGCTAAGCTTTGACTTGTTTGACGTGTGTTAAAACTATTATTATTTCTATTTGATTATTTGCTTTACTCCAGAGGACTGTGCAATTTACAAATATTTTTAATACTTATTATATAACAATATAATTCAGTTCAAATTAACAACCATCAGATTCAAGCCATAGTAATCTGACAATTGTAAACAGAAATGACTCATTACAAATACATTCAATAGTTAGGTCATTTTAAAGGAAGCTTGCTCATTAAACATCACACTAAACATTTCTAAATTAGGGTACAATAAATGAACAACCACAGTAAACAGGCTGGAACCCCAGTATTCTATTTTCCATCTTTTAAAACGTTTTATGGTCTAACTTAAAACGGAACTAAACTTAAAGCAGTGGGTGAACCCACCCACTAGCTACAAATTCTGAAGACCGCAAGTTTCAGTTGGTAAGACAAGAGGAGAAGCATCTGGCACACAGAACATTCCCAGTACTCAACGAGCTTGAAACCTGTGATGAGTGTTATTCATCAACAAGTGTTATTCTTGGATATTTTAGGGAAATATATTCCTAAATAAAATGTATATTACCCTTTGGTTTTTATAATATAACTTTATGTTCATGAAAAAGTAACTCTTTGTGTGATTTAAAGAGATCATGAATTTTAAATTATGTGTAAAAGATTGAAGACTATTCCTAAAATTGTAATGGAATTTCGTTGAAAACTCTTTAAACCCTTGTCCTGCAGCAAATTCCTCTGCTAAAGTTGCGATTATGCAATTAATCTACAGTAGAATAATTGAGACAATATTAACCATATTGTGTAACGTTTACTAAAGCATGTAAATGTTATTTAAACCGCCGTGTTTTATTGTTTTATTAAATACTGGCTAATACTTTAAAATATTGAACATATCTGTCTTCAGTTCGCTGGAAATTGTCTGTAATTTGTTACTAAATGCACAGTAGGTTTATTTTAAAGAGAAACAAACTGCATGTTTTTTAAATACGTAGAAGAAGAAATCAGACAAATGGACTTAATGGTCCCTTATATCAAACTAATTCTCTCCCGAGACATAGCAAACCTGGCTAGACGTAGTCATCGCTCCTAAATTATAGTACATTTAGGTAACATTTTAATTATAGATCTCCGAATGCGTTGCAAGCGATGAGAACGAAGTGGAGTCATTCTCCTTTTATAGGCATCGCGCTGGGCCCGTCAGCCAGACAGCCCTTCTTATTGGTACGCTGCTCTATCAATCAAACCGTGTCGGGAGCTGCTGGCCTTCGGTCGAGATAATGGAGCCCTTTCATTGACTTTCAGGTGTGGGAGTGGGAAGTAGGAAGTGTGGGGAGAAAGTACAGCGGGAATGTGAAGAGATAGGTACACGGAGAATCCAACATGTCAGGTGATGTCCGGTACTGCGAGAGGCTATCGTACCTGTTTTTAAAGTTTACACTCATCGTCTACTGCAGTGTGTTCTGGGTGAGTATTCGTTATGCTGTTGTCCTAGGCAAGCGAAGCACACGGTACCCCCCAGCCCTTCCCTACGGACTGTATCCGCGGCAGTGTTGTTCAGGGCGTGTTCATACAGTGTAAACAAGTATCGCAAGTGGCAGAAAGGATTGTGATACAGTTTCATTCGGTTGTGTTTTTTCAATTAACAAAATCAGCCAAGCTGTCCGTAGTGCAAAACCGTGGTAACATAAAAAACCTTATGCGCTATAGGATGGAACAGGTGTTAGTTGAACACATTTTGTCACTTCGTGCGCTGTACAGTGAGAGAGTACACGTACCGAAGGCAGTGTTTCAGTCAACCCCACCCTTTTGGGGATCTGGGTGTCGCAGAGGAGTTTTGTCGATATGTTATTATTAATAATAATAGCTATGACATTATCAACGTCATTAGTAGTAGTACTAGCGAAATGACACCCTCTTCTGAATTTCGAGCAGGAATTCCGACTCCACCTGGCTGCGTTTTTTCATGTTAAGTCCTAATATTCCAATAAGATCAAGAAAATAATTCGGACTGTTTTCACGATTTGTACATTTAACTATGTGTGTTATTCATTGATTTTCTAAGTAATAATGAAATGGGATCCCATATCGAAGGACTGGGAACGGCTAGCTATCGCTCAACTGCTGCAGACTGTGCTGAGAGCTCTCGGTCATCCTGATCAAGTGTGAGCCATTAAAAGCTATAGGGCGAGTACCTAGTCACAGTAAAACGTGCGGAACTTGCTTGAGAATCTGAATAAGACTGAGGGATTTTTCATGACAAAGATATTTGATATTTCGGTGTGGTTTTAACAAAGCGGTTTTAACAAAGCTAACAAAATAGTATGGCATCAAATTCCTATGTGTCTCACTGTAGATTGTTTTTTTTTTTTGTAAGTAGAAGTGTTCTAGTTGAACTGTGGTGTGATCATTGTAGACGATCAGAATGGACACAACTAGAGAGTTTCAGCACCATTGTATTTAAATAGAGCTTCATTTGGTCTATTTATTTTGTATAATGTCATTAATTCCCCGCAAGGTCATTTTTTGTAGATTAAGTGAAAT